CGGTGGTAGTTGTGGTAGTTGGGGTGGTGGTAGTTGTGGCGGTGGTAGTTGTGGTAGTTGGGGTGGTGGTAGTTGTGGCGGTGGTAGTTGTGGTAGTTGGGGTGGTGGTAGTTGGGGTGGTGGTAGTTGTGGCGGTGGTAGTTGGGGTGGTGGTAGTTGGGGCGGTGGTAGTTGTGGTAGTTGGGGCGGTGGTAGTTGTGGTAGTTGGGGCGGTGGTAGTTGTGGTAGTTGGGGCGGTGGTAGTTGTGGTAGTTGGGGCGGAGGTAGTTGTGGTAATTGGGGCGGCGGTAGTTGGGGCGGTGGTAGTTGTGGCGGCGGTAGTTGTGGTAGTTGGGGTGGTGGTAGTTGTGGTAATTGGGGCGGCGGTAGTTGTGGTAATTGGGGCGGCGGTAGTTGTGGTAATTGGGGCGGTGGTAATTGTGGTAGTTGGGGCGGTGGTAGTTGTGGTAGTTGGGGCGGCGGTAGTTAAGGTAATTGGGGCGGCGGTAGTTGGGGCGGTGGTAGTTGTGGTAGTTGGGGCGGCAGTAGTTGTGGTAGTTGGGGCGGTGGTAGTTGTGGTAGTTGGGGCGGTGGTAGTTGTGGTAGTTGGAGCGGCGGTAGTTGTGGTAGTTGGGGCGGTGGTAGTTGTGGTAATTGGGGCGGCAGTAGGTGGGGCAGCAGTAGCTGTGGTAGTTGGGGTGGCGGTAGTTGTGGTAGTTGGAGCGGCGGTAATTGTGGTAGTTGGGGTGGTGGTAGTTGTGGTAGTTGGGGCGGTGGTAGCTGCGGTAGTTGGGGCGGTGGTAGCTGTGGTAGTTGGGGCAGCGGTAGCTGTGGTAGTTGGGGCGGTGATAGCTGTGGTAGTTCGGGCGGTGGTAGTTGTGGTAGTTGGGGCGGTGGTAGTTGTGGTAGTTGGGGAGGCTGTAGTTGTGGTAGTTGGAGGGACTGTAGTTGTGGTAGTTGGAGGGACTGTAGTTGTTGTGTTAGCTGGGGGGGCTGTAGTTGTTGTGGTATTTGGGGGGACTGTGGTTGTGGTATTTGGGGGGACTGTAGATGTTGTATTTGGGAGGACTGTAGTTGTTGTATTTGTGGGGGCTGTAGTCGGGGGAACTGTAGTTGTTGTGGTATTTGGGGGGACTGTAGTTGTATTTGGGGGGGCTGTAGTTGTGGTAGTTGGAGGGAATGTGGTTGTGTTAGCTGGGGGGACTGTAGTTGTTGTATTTGGGGGAGCTGTAGTTGTGGTAGTTGGAGGGACTGTAGTTGTTGTGTTAGCTGGGGGGGCTGTAGTTGTAGTATTTGGGGGAACTGTAGTTGTATTTAGGAGGGCAGCTGTAGTTGTGGTAGTTGGAGGGACTGTAGTTGTGGTATTTGCGGGGACTGTAGTTGTGGTATTTGGGGGGACTGTAGTTGTTGTATTTGGGGGGACAGTAGTTGTGGTAGTTGGGGGGGCTGTAGTTGTTGTGGTATTTGGGGGGACTGTAGTTGTGGTATTTGGGGGGACTGTAGTTCTATTTGGGGGGGCTGTAGTTGGGGGAACTGTAGTTGTTGTGGTATTTGGGGGGACTGTAGTTGTATTTGGGGGGGCTGTAGTTGTGGTAGTTGGAGGGAATGTAGTTGTTGTGTTAGCTAGGGGGACTGTAGTTGTTGTATTTGGGGGGGCTGTAGTTGTGGTAGTTGGAGGGACTGTAGTTGTGGTATTTGGGGAGACAGTAGTTATTGTAGTTGGGGGGGCTGTAGTTGTGTTAGTTGGGGGGGCTGTAGTTGTTGTGTTAGCTAGGGGGGCTGTAGTTGTTGTGGCTGTAGGTGTGGGAGCTGTAGTTACATTGGGTTGGGTTGTCCTTGTAGTTGGTGCAGATGAAGTTAAATTTAGTGGGATTGTAGTTTGTGCAGCTGCAGTGGTTTGAGGTACAGCAGTTATGCCTGTGAACAACAGATTAGCAGAAACATCATTAATGCAGGAAACACCTGATGACAATTTTAAAAAAAGAATTTCACTTACTGTTAACTGTCACAAGAAGACATCGAAGATCAGAGTGATACACCGATCCGGAGAAACTGCAAAATAAAAAGCTGTTTATTAAAGTGGAAATTGTTATGATATATAATGTTTACATGGCAGTAACTACTGAGCTAATGAATAGTTAGCGTTATATGGCGTTAGCTCCCTAGCTCATGTTTATATGGCGATAGCTCCTGTACTAAAGCATAGTTGGCGATATATAGTGTTAGCTCCTGAGCTAATGTTTATATGGCAATAGCTTCCGAGCTAATGTAAATGGTAATATGGTGTTAGCTCCTGAGCTAATGTGTACTTGGCAATGTATAGTGTTAGCTCCCGAACTAATGTTTATATGGACATAGCTCCTGTACTAAAGAATAGTTGGCAATATGGTGTTAGCTCCCGAGATAGTTTTTATAAGGCAATTGCTTACGAAGTAGTGTCTATGGTGAGATATTGATAGAAAGATAGGAAAAGGTTTGTACAAATAACTGATGTAAGATCTGAATTCTGAACACCACATGGAGTTCCTCATGGTTCTGTACCCGGACCAAAGTTATTTATTTTATATGTGAATGACTTGGTAAATGCGTCAGTGATTTTTAAATGTGTATTATTTGATTATACATTTGATATATACAGATGATAAATTTGTTGGAAATGATGCAGACAGAATTTGTGAAAACACAAACTTGGTAAATTATCATTAAATTTAGATACAACTAATTATATGATATTCAGTAATAGAAAGAGAGCCATTGATGTTCCATTTAGAGTTGATGGTGTTAAGTTGTGTAGAGTCAGTGAGGTGAAGTCTTTGGGCATCATTATTGATAAATTATTTAAGAATAAAAATAGCTAAATCTATTGCAGTACTAGATAAAGTAAGAGAGTTATTCAATAATAAAGCTCTGGATATGTTGTATAATGTAATACTTGTGAGCTGTAAAACAAATGTTTAAAGCTCCTGAGCTAGTTGGCGATGTATTTTAACAGGTCCCTTTTCCTGAATGTTTTTTTTTAAACAATTGTGACGTTAATGTAAAGAAACTGACTTGGCCTGGACGATAACACAGATGGGTTGACTCCATCCATAATCAGTGTCGGACGGCGTCCACGTCAGATTGTAGTTCCCTGGTCCTGCTGGGCTCTTGACCATGGTATGGGGTCCACTGAACAGGAGCCCTGTGATCCTTTAACAAATAGGAAATAAACATTTCAGGTGTTTTTGTTTTGTTACATTTTCCAGCTACAAACAGAACTAGACAGCTGGTTTCTTCTGACTTTAAACTTTCTTATGTTTGAGGAAGGTTTTAATTGTTTTGGTTTCTTTTCATTTAGTCTGTTTTAGTTTACATAATTCTTTCCCTTATGAAAAAAACAACGAGATTCACATAGCTTCACATCCATTAGTGTTTTACAAATGCTTCCCATGTCAATTTGAATTATTTCCTGATAAAGACCCATCAATTTATGCCTCTTTATTTCTAAATTACTAATAAAAATTATATACTTGATGAATTTGTTAGCATTACAATATGGTCACGCCTAAAAGAGGCTTCCAGTTAATTTTTTTTAATCCGTCTTCAATGTAGATGTTTTAAAATTTTTCATAAGTTGTCTAAAATGTTATAGTTTAACAGGGCCTTAAGGAAGTATAAAATCTATGTGGAATCCAGTGAGAAAAAGAGTGATACGTCACGTTGACATCACGAGACAAAACAGATCACGGGTAGGTTAAATTCCAAACTCAACCACCTGAAAATGAACAAAAGCTCGTCTAACCAGAGGCAGAGGCCTTTGTTAACCTCTTTTAGTTTTCCTTTTACTTACACAGACCGAGTCGCCTCAGCTCTGATGGGGATTTGCAGCGTCTGATTTACTGTGCCAAAGATCTGAGTTTGGTGGTCTGGGGTCGGAGGCAGAAATGTGGGCAGAATGACGCCGTTGGTGCATGAGGGTACGGCAGGAACAACTGGAACGAATCAAGAAGACAAGAAACTTAGACATGATAACTAATACCTAGAAAAACCCATTGAAAACAATATAGAGTTCTTTAAATCTTCTACCTGAAAGCTCTGAAAATGTACGACTTCTACATACTTTTAGCTGGAAACACCAATGAAGCATTGGTTGAGTTTCAAATGATTCAGCTTTTAGGCATTTTTTTTTATTCTACACCTAGTAGTTCTGTCAGATGCTTTGTGCAGCTTCACTGTTGCTACAAGATGAATTTAATACTTTTAATCAGATAATAATCCAACCAGTCGTTCTTGTCTTGTAAACCAACAGTGGACTTTTCAAACATATAAAGCAGATAAAATTTTTCTGATTCCAGCACAGCTCTTTGTAAATTAGCACAAACTGAATATAAAAGTGAACCTTTCAGGAGGAATTGGATGGGTGTCTTGCTTATGAAATCACTGGTTGTTTTAGTTGTTGGAACACCAAAAGCATCAGTCAGGATGATGGTCTGTCTGGGAAAGTCCTCCATTATCATCTGGACCACATATGAACCTTCAGCACTGGTGATAGTCGGGCTGAACGACAGAGAACAAGACTGGAAGAGGACAAAAAAGACCAATATTAAAACATTAAACCTTTTGGTTTTATTAGTTTGTATCAACTTGATATCAACAGCTATGCTCACTGAGGAGAGGTTGAGGACAGACGGTGGTGTGCAGGTGTCACACTCTGACAGGAAACTACTTGCATATCTACATTTAATCTCGTCTCCATTAGAGTCGAAAGCCAACAGGTTAATATTTTTCTGACAGTTTGAAGGAACTCTGAAAGCAAAAAACCAACAAATAAGCATAAAAAAGTCAATTTAATCAAGTCCCAGCAAAACATTACCCAGAGAAAATTAAATGAAACATATAACAATGAATTAACAAACTGGTTACTCCAAGTAATTAACTGCATTGTTTTCATTGTTTCTTTGGCAACACTTCTATTGTTTGATCCAACACTCGCAGTTATTTTATACTTCTTCCACGTGTAATCAGTTCTCTTTAGGGGCTCTTTTCACAGGACAGAGACCATTGGGAAACCATTGAGCAACCAACATTTGGCCAAATGTCTCAGCGGCCTCTAAACGCCCTCAAAAACATTGTTTTCTGGAAAAACCTCAATGATCCTTCAGCACTCAACGAGGAACTAAAGAATATATATATATTTTGCAATTTAATTGAAGAACTACAGAGGCCTAACACTGAGACCAACAGAACCCATACCCCCCTGCAGACACCATTAGTGACCATTTATCGTGTGACCAAAGGTGCACCCCGAGAGACCAACTGTGATTAACGGAGATCACTGGACCTGTGTGATTGCCCATTTGTGAATGAAAGATCATTAAGAAAGCATTGGAAGACCTCCAAGATCACAGAGGGCCGACTGAAAGTCTGTAGAGATTTAGCAATTTCTTTAAACACTGAATGGTCTCGCTTTTGTGGAAAGGATACATATTTGATCTACACAAAGGTCCTTTACTTTCCTGCAGGCCACTTTATATAAAAAGAAAAACTGCTGGAATTGAATGTGATCATTTAAATTTAGTAGTCTCGGTTTTGGTTCTTAAAAAAGTTAGAAAAATCTCAAATTAATGCTAAATTAATAAATTCAATGAATGCATCTTATTTTGGTTCACGTAATGAATTACAGTTACAGCTGATTTACAGAAAATGTTTTTGCAGTTTGTTCCATTTCTTATGGATCACTGTTGGAGTGTTGATCAGAAAACTAAAATACAAAACATAAAATCAAAGATTTTCTCCTGGTAATGAAAGAAACTAAAGGTTTTACTTAAATGTTGCTGCATTTATGATGAAACTAACAAAGTTACCTCACAACTGGGATGATGGTGGTCTGCGGGGCTGTGTTGGCTTTACCGATGTCAGACCGGTTTCTCTGTTCACAGTAGAACACTTCTGTCCCGACTGTGATGTTATTTATGTTGTCCACCCAGTTGGATGTACTAAGCCTACAATGGAAGATGAGGGTTCAGATGTTACACAGAGTCTTGATGTTTAGTTAAAATAATTAATCAACGTATTGAATTCTTCACTCTTTAGTTACATCGGACTCACGTGGTATTAGTTAAAGTTAAACTGTTGGACAAGTTGTTGATCCTTTCTGATTGACACCATTCTCCAATGTTTTCTTCAATAAAGTAACAACTGCTGGCAGGGTGGCAGCTGAGAAAACTAGACTCTTGGCAGGAGCTGTAACTCAACTTCTCTTGAGAAATATCCTGTAGATTGAAAATATAGAGGTGTGCAGTACAATCAACATTTAAAAAGCAGAAACCAGACATTATAAAGAGTCCTAACTTACCTCATTTCCACCTCCTTGCGTCTCCCGAACAATGCATGAGAAGATTTGGCCAAGAAAACCAGCTTGTGTCCCGCTGACCAGCATCATCAGCAGCAGCAGCAGCACAGACAGCAACATGTTGAACGGGTCAGTGTCTCCACACAAAGACCTGGAGCTGTTAGAGACAGAAGCATTTCCACGTACTCATCCAGGCTGTTTTCCACTCCCACGTTTCATCTGTTTACCATCAGCCACACCTACAGATAACTAACCAGAGTGATGAGAAACACCAGCTCACCTGCTATGAGGAAACCATCAGAGATGAAAAAGAATAAAATCATAAATACAGATCACAGAAACAACATTCAACAAAATAAAAACATTTATTCATATTGTTGTAAGAGCAACATCTTCTGTCATTAAAAGACAAACAAACCTTAAACAAAGCAGCATGAAGTTTAAGTTTCTTTGCGGTTGAATGAAATTTTCTGTCTTTTCTTTGGGTATTTTTCTTGTTTTTGTCTTGAACACAGTCAGATAGTTTAATATTTTTGTATTTAAGCTGTGTTTAAACTCTATTATCTATTAATGAGCTCCCTCTTGTGGTCAGTTTGTGTCTCTGCTGTCACTTAGCAAACCCAACAACCATGAATAAAATACAAAAATACTAATTTATAAACAAATATAACTTCTGAAAAGTAAACAGAAGGCAAATTTACAGTTTCTGGGTCATTAGATACATTTGATTTGCAAACTTATTGAACCATTTTGATAACAGACACATCCCAGACCCCATCACATCTGTTTAGTCCATGTTCACTCTGTGTACATATGTGTGCATATATGAGTCTGGACTTTTTAATTTGTTAAACCATGAAGCTAATTCCTTCTATGTCCAAATACACTTGACAAACAATTCTGATCCCAGTTTAACTTACACTGCAGCACTGAGCCTGATACCCAATCAGTTTCTCTCTAATTCATGCATGTGAGTAAACTGAGACCCTAATGACCATCAGGAGGGAAAGGAGTGAGATTAATCTGCATGTGACTTTAGCTCCATAAACTGAACAGAMTTTATTTATTTATTTATTTATTTATTTATTTATTTATTTATTTATTTATTTATTTATTTATTTACACTTAATGAAACATTTGGTTCTACAGTGATCAGATAAATTCTCATAGTTAGCCACTAGGGGGCAGCTGTTGTCACTTTCACTGAAGCGTTGCTCCGAAGGTGAACACCTATGTGTGATGGCAGGCCTCGTTTAATCAGCTCATCTTTGATCTGAAGAAAAAACCCAGATAAAATCAGTAAAATGTGATAAACAGATGTTTTGTTGTCAGTCTGCAGCTTGTTGTTAATTCCAGGAGTTTCTAACCAGTTTTTCAATGACGTCCTTGTTGTTCTCCAGTGACATGGTGGTAGAGATCTTCATTTTCAGAAAATAAAGAAAATCTAGAAGCAGAGAGTCAACGTTATCACAGACCTCATTTGCAGCTATTTTTCTGATGATTACAGTGAAAAAATGTAAAAAAAACTGTCAAACTCACGAAGTGTTGGTGGGACTGTGGAGAGGAGAGGAGCAGAAACACAATCAGTGCAGGATATACATCATGGGATTTAAAAATGAATAGATTTTCACTCACCTATCGGAACTGTCACAACAACACATCGAAACTCAGAGTGTAACACAACACTGGTGTAACTGTGGGAGTAATTCAGAACAGATTTATTATTATTAAAATGCAGGATTTTTACTCAGTTTTACGGTAAAGGTAATGTTCTACATCCGAGACATCAAACGTGTTGTTTTCATTTTCCGTGCATTTTTAAATAATAAACATGAGAAGATACTGACTTTGCTTGAACAACAAAACAGATTGGGTGGCTTTGTCCACCTTCAAGGTCTGATGGTGTCCATCTCAGAGTGTACTGTCCTGGTCCTGAAGTTATCTTCTTCACGTTGTACGGCCCGCTGAATTGTATCGACATTAATCTTTAACAAACAGAAAACACAGAGTTCGATTAGAGATACTTCTTTCAGATGTTTCCTTCATCCTCCTCAACCTGTCCTTTTCTAACTGTACCTAACGCCCTTCTACTAATATAGCCAGCGTCCCTCCTGTCACCATTTTGTCACAAATCACATGGGCGGCAATGAAACATCATCGATTACCATCATTCTTATTATTGAGATGATCCATTTTTCTTCTGCACGTTTTTCTTACCGTAACTCGTTCCACAATTTTTGTTTTATTTCAAAAACTCATATTCTGGCGTCTGGGGGGGGGGGGGGGGTTCGCCACCAACACCAATGCCAATACCAACACCAACACCAACAATACCAACACCAACGCCAATATAGTGGGGATGGTGTGCTGCTGACCTCAACTCGGGACGTTGTGAGTCAGTGGGTGGAATACTTCGAAGACCTCCTCAATCCTATCGACACGTCTTCCCATGAGGAAGCAGAGCCTGGGGACCCTGGGTTGGACTCTCCATTCTCCGGTGCCGAGGTCACCAAGGCGATTAAAAAGCTCCTCGGTTGCAAGGCGCCGGGGGTGGATGAGATTCACCCAGAATTCCTTAAGGCTCTGGATGTTGTGGAGTTGCATTGGTTGACGTGACTCTACAATATTGTGTGGACGTCGGGGGCAGTTCCCCTGGATTGGCAGACCGGAGTGGTGGTCCCCCTATTTAAAAAGGGGAACCGCAGAGTGTGTTCCAACTATAGGTGGATCACACTTCTGAGCCTCCCTGGTAAGGTCTATTCAGGGGTCCTGGAGAGGAGGGTCCGTCAGATGGTCGAATCTCGGATTCAGGAAGAGCAGTGTGGTTTTCGTCCTGGTCGTGGAACAGCAGACCAGCTCTACACTCTCAGTAGGGTCCTGGAGGGTGCATGGGTGTTTGCACAACCAGTCTACCTGTGTTTTGTGAACTTGGAGAAGGCGTTTGACCGTGTCCCTCGGGGACTCCTGTGGGGGGTACTCCGGGAGTATTGGGTGCCTGGCCCATTGATATGGGCTGTTAGGTCCCTGCATGACCGGTGCCAGAGCTTGGTCCGCATTGCCAGTAGTAAATCGGACTCGTTTCCGGTGAGAGTTGGACTCCGCCAAGGCTGCCCTTTGTCACTGATTCTGTTCATAACTTTTACGAACGGAATTTCTAGGCACAGCCAAGGTGTTAAGGGGATCCTTTTTGGTGACCTTAGAATCACGTCTCTGCTTTTTGCAGATGATGTGGTCCTATTGGCTTCATCAGACCGTGATCTCCAGCTCTCGCTAGAGTGGTTCGCAGCCGAGTGTGAACCGGCCGTGATGAGGATCAGTGCCTCCAAATACGAGACCACAGTCTTGAGCTGGAAACCGGTAGCGTGCCACCTCCGGGTCGGGGAGGAGGTCCTGCCCCAAGTGGAGGAGTTTAAGWATCTCGGGGTCTTGTTCACGAATGAGGGAAGAATGGAGCGCGAGATCGACAGGCGGATTGGTGCTTCATCTGCAGTGATGCGGGCGTTGTACCGGTTTGTCGTGGTGAAGTGTGAGCTGAGCCAGAAGGCAAAGCTCTCAGTTTACCGGTCGGTCTACGTTCCTATCCTAATCTATGATCACGAGCTTTGAGTAGTGACCGAAAGAACAAGATCGCGGATACAAGCAGCCAAAATGAGTGTCCTCTGCAGGGTGTCTGGTCTCTCCCTTAGAGATAGGCTGAGAAGCTCAGTCATCCAGGAGGGACTCAGAGTAGAGCCGCTGCTCCTCCACGTGGAGAGGAGTAAGTAGAGGTGGTTCATCTGGTTAGGATGCCTCCTGGACGCCTCCCTGGTGAGGTGTTCCAGGCACATCCCACTGGGAGGAGGCCCAGAGGAAGACCCAGGACACGCTGGAGGGACTATGTTTCTCGGCTGGCCTGGGGACGCCTTGGGATTCCCCCAGATGAGCTGGCCTAAGTGGCTGGGGAGACGGAAGTCTGGGTCTTTCTGCTTAGGCTGCTGCCCCCGAGACCCAATTCCAGATAAACGGCAGAAAACAGACGAATGGACGGACAACTCATATTTCAAAATGTTCAACTCATTTATGCTATGAGTGCTATGACTTTTGGTATTGCAGCAATGCATACATTTTTTGCTGTTTAACGTTTTTGACTATTTTTTACTTCAGTGAAAATATATGTAGCTTTTGCAATATCCTTCAAATTTTTTCATAAATCTTTACTGCATGTTTTACGTTTGTTCTGGTTTTGCTTTTTTCCAACTTCGTTTTACTAAATTCAGCTTCCTTCAACTTGTTTTTTTGCTCATTTTTTGCTCTTTATGCTCTTTTCAGGTTTTCTTCAGCTGATTTAAACATTTTTAGGTTTCTCTCAGCTCCTTTCTGCCAATTTAAACCTTTTATGCTTTTTAGCTGATTTTTGCAAGTTTCAGCTATTTTCTGCCGTTTTAGAAATTTGTCACTTTTTAACTAATTTTCACCTTTTTGTGATAATTTCAGCTTCTTACTGCTTATTATTATTATTATTATTATTATTATTATTATCATTATTATTATTATTATTATTATTTTAGCAAACATACTTTTTCTGCACTTTTGTGCTGATTTCAATTTTTTAAGCTAATTTTAACTATTTTATTGCTGATTTTGGCTGCTTTAGCTATTTTCTAACAAATTGCAATCATTTGTACATCTTTTCTTGTTTTTTTTTAATGTGATTTAAATAAACAATTTCACTACCTGTCTGCTAATTTAAAATGGTTTCTTCTACTTTTACTTTTTTGCTAATCTTAGCCTTTTTTTTTTAGCATTTTCAGCTACTTTTCTTCTAATTTAATTTGTTTTGTGCTCAGCTACGTTTTTTCACCTTCAACTGAATCACTTTTAAAGATTTTCGGTTACATTTTAGTGGGGCGGTAGCCGAGAGCAATCCCCACGCCACCACATGCTGAAAGCTAATTAGCAATTTAAGATGGCTAACAAAGCTAAAACAAGCCGTCGCTCAGTCGGTGGCCACTTTCTTCTTTGAGCTCTAACTCTGTAACTGTGTAACGTAGGAATGTTAAACTTCACATCTTAACACATTGTGGGCCAACGATGATTCTTTTGATGTTAGGATCACAGGGTCAAAGGTCAAGTTTAAAGGTCACCTCTAAGTTCAGATGGCTCTAAATTGTAAACTATTTAACTAAGAATTGACAAACTTCACAGCTGGACATTGAGGGTCAACAATTATTTTTAGTGATTTTAGGGTCATGGGATCAAAGGTCAGGGTCAAAGGTCACCCCATATATTTAGATAACTCTGATGATAACTATTTACAGAAAGGTCAAACTTCACAGCTGGACAACACATGAGTCAAAGATCACCCGTACTGATATAAAGGTCAAAGGGACCTCACAGTTCAATAAATAAAGTTAAATTGATTACCATTTCAGCTAATATTTATAATTTTCTGCTAATTTTAGCTACATATCTGTTCTGCATAGCTGTTTTGACTATTTTTTCACTTCTCTTTTGTTTCAGCAGAAGTCAGCTGTTCAAATCAAACAAACAATTTAACTGTTATGCTTTTAAAGCCTGACTTCAGCATTTTTTTGGCAAAAATGTTTCAGCATTAAGCATTAATACTGTATTTTCAGGAGAAATGCAAATTCTCCAGTTTACTTTAAAATTGCTCTAAATGACTTATTTTGACTTACGTTGACTCAGTAGCCTCAGTGATGATGGGGATTTCCACCGTTTGATTAACAGTGGCGTTGATCTGAGTTCTGTGTTGTGGAGTTGGAGGCAGGAAAGCGGGAACATAGAGACCGAGAGTGCAGGACGGCACTGCAGGAACCACTGAAATGATAAATGAAACGAACTCAGAGGTGCTCAGATGGCCTTCAGACATTGTACCAACACTGATCAGACTCTTTTCTTCTTTTTTTTTCAGATTTAAGCAGATCTTTTAACCAAAAAACCAGAACAGGACAGTACCATTGAAGCCAAACTGGATGGGTATCTTGCTGATAGCACTGCTGGGAGTTTTCACCTCCTGTGAACCGTTGGAGTGAGTCAGGGTGATGGTCTGACTGGGAAAGTCCTCCATCACCACCTGGACTGCGTATACGCCTTCTCTACTGTTGGAAGTGGAGTTGAATTGTAGACTACAATTCTGCTACAGAACAGAAATATAGACTGAAATATTTGTGACGAATGAATGAACTAAACATATTGTTTTTACATAAAAGGCAAAATAAATTTTGTGAGGCTGAAAAAGATGGAGGTGGCAGCTGCAGTTTCAGATCTGAGACGTGACTCGACATTCCTCTGCCTGCGGCCGACCCTCAGGAGCCAAAACTCAACCACCAGGAGTTTAGTGATAAAATACACTTTTCATCGCCCAGCCCTACATGAGATTACCAGTCGTTACTCACTGATGAGAGGCTGAGGACAGACGGTGGTGTGCAGGGGTTACACTCCAACAACGCATCATTTCCAAACCTGCATCTAACTCTGTCTCCATCAGGGTCAAAGGTCAACAAGTTTATGTTTCTCTGACAGTTTGAAGGAAGTCTGAAAGAGCAAGAAAATATAAATTATATGTTTTTATTTGCTTCAGACCATCTTTTATTGCTATTTAGGATATTAACTCTGATCATTACAGCTCTAATTTAAACAATGTTTGATAGGTTCAAGCTAACTGCTGACCTAATTATTCCAACTTAAAGTGCCTGTGACTTTTTTTTTGCAATAAATATGAATGTATTTTTGAAAAGATATTACTGATAACATTCAGTGAAATTTTTTTTTTGCCGCTGGCATGAACAGTTGTTGAGATATTTGCCTGTGAAGAAACAGGAAGTGATGTCAAAGGGGAATGTCTGAATGTGAACAAAGGGCTACAATAACAACACAGAAGAATCTGATGTTTCTTTAGATTATTTTCAGTTTATGTCAGAGAAATGAAGAGTCAGAGTTCAAATAATCTTCTTTTAATAAACAAAAACCAGGAAGTTAATTTTCTTAAAAATTTCCCTTTTGATGTCACTTCCTGTTTCACTTTGGCTGAGACAAATTCAAACGAACATTTGCCAGTTATGTGACAAAATAGATAAAATCGTGAATTATGCAAATTTCACAAATTTAAAGTCTTTTTCTTTCACTTTTGTATTTGAAGTATAGGTACTTAAATTACATCATTGTTTTCATTCATCACAAATATTTCAGTTGATGTTTCTGCTCTGTTGCAGAATTTTAGTCTTTAATTCAACACTCAAAAAACGATTTGTTGAATTTACTAAAAGTTATGTCAAGTTGTTCCACTCAATCTAGTTGAGTAAATGTAACAAGATTTACTTACATTGTGTAAATCTTGTTACCTTTTCACAGCTTGGTTGAGTAGAACCACTTGACAAAACTTTGTTAAGTAAATTCAACAAATCATTTTTCTGAGTGAACCCAACTTCAAACAATAGTGAAGGCATAGACAAATTCAAAAGAAAATACGCCATTTATGTGACAAAATGTCTGTTTGACATAATGTGTATTATGCCAAGTTACTTAAATATAAAGCTGTTTTATTTGTCTTTTTGTATTTGAATGATATGCAGGTCACAGGAACTTTAAATTGTCCTGGTAAAAAAGAGTGACAGTAATCCAGATATAAAAATAAAAAAGTTAAGTACAGGGGTTGGACAATGAAACTGAAACACCTGTCATTTTAGTGTGGGAGGTTTCATGGCTAAACTGGACCAGCCTGGTGGCCAGTCTTCATTAATTGCACATTGCACCAGTAAGAGCAGAGTGTGAAGGTTCAATTAGCAGGGTAAGAGCACAGTTTTACTCAAAATATTGCAATGCACACAACATTATGGGTGACATACCAGAGTTCAGAAGAAGACAAATTGTTGGTGCACGTTTTGCTGGTGGATCTGTGACCAAGACAGCAAGTCTTTGTGATRBWTCAAGAGCCACAGTATCCAGGGTAATGTCAGCATACCACCAAGAAGGACCAACCACATGCAACAGGATTAACTGTGGACCCAAGAGGAAGCTGTCTGAAAGCGATGTTCGGGTGCTAACCCGGATTGTATCCAAAAAACATAAAACCACGGCTGCCCAAATCACAGCAGAATTAAATGTGCTCCTCAACTCTCCTGTTTCAACCAGAACTGTCCGTTGGGAGCTCCACAGGGTCAATGTAGACAGCCAGGCTGCTATAGCCAAACCTTTGGTCACTTGTGCCAATGCCAAACGTCAGTTTCAATGGTGCAAGAAGCGCAAATCTTGGGCTGTGGACCTTTACTGTTTTCCCCACATCTGGGAGAGTTACGGTGTGGAGAAGCCCCAAAGAAGCGCACCACCCAGACTGCTGAATGCCCAGAGTGAAGCATGGGGGTGGATTAGTGATGGCTTGGGCTGCCATATCATGGCATTCCCTTGGCCCAATACTTGTGCTAGATGAGCGCGTCACAGACAAGGACTACCGAACCATTCTGGAGGATCATGTGCATCCATTGGTTCAAACATTGTATCCTGAAGGCGGTGCCGTGGATCAGGATGACAAGGCACCAATACACACAGCAAGACTGGTGAAGGATTGGTTTGATGAACATGAAAGTGAAGGTGAACATCTCCCAGGCCTGCACAGTCTTCAGATCTAAATATTATTGAGCCACTTTGGGGTGTTTTGTGGGAGCAAGTCAGGAAATGTTTTCCTCTACCAGCATCACGTAGTGACCTGGCCACTATCCTGCAAGAAGAATGGCTTCAAATCCCTCTGATCACTGTGCAGGACTTGTATATGTCTTCCTCAAGACAAATTGATGCTGTATTGGCCACAAAAGGAGGCCCTACACCACACTAATAAATTATTGTGGTCTAAAACCAGGTGTTTCAGTTTCATTGTCCAACCCCTATAGGTCCTCTGGATGGGTAGAAGAACCCATCCAGAGGACCTACTAACCTTTTTTTGATTCTAACTTAAACATTTTGTTTCCTGTACTCACTTATTTTAAAAAAAAGCACCTAATGCTTTCACAAAGAGCACTTGTTGTAGTGACGTTTTGATGTTATTCCTCATTTGAAAGTCAAAATGCCTCCTGTAAAAAAAAGGAGGAATTTTCTGATGCTTTTTGACTTGCAAATACAGAACAATCTTAGCCGCCTCATTTTTCAGACGCTTCTCCCTCATTATGTTGTCTTTGTCAGAATTCTTGTGAGTTTTGTTGTTAACTGTCTCGTCACAGAACCATGAAGACGCTGGCTGAAACGCACACAAAAAACAAACAAACCAACGTGACTGAAACTACCTGATAACTGGGAGGATGGTGGTCTGTGGTGATGTGTTGGGTTTGCTGCTGTCAGAACGTTTCCTCAGATCAACGTCAGTCACCGCTCTCCAATTTCCAACACCATTTAGGTTGCCTGCCCAGGCACTACCAGCAAATCTAGTGAGGAAGATATTGAGAAAGTTTACAATGTTGCACAGAACCTGATGTCTGTAGGTTGAAGTTTATTTGAAGAAAGTCTTGAATTTTGGAACTCGTCAGAAAAACAGGTGGACTCACACAAGTTGAAGTGGAGAGCTGTTGGGAACCAGGTAAGTGTTGATTCCTTCTCTTTGACACCAATCATCACTCTGATCAATGTTGGTGACCGGGAGGCTCTGAGTCTCAGTCCCACAGTTGCCGCTGCAAACCCACGAACCAGTATGTCCACAGGAGATGTAGTTCAGCTTGTAGCGAAGAATCACCTGTAGATTAGAGAAAAAGGGGTTAAATTTAATGAAACAAATTAAAGTAGGAGCAAAAAATGACAGAGAAGCTTCACTTACTGAGATGGATCCATTTGCATAAGTTTTATTTGGGTAGTAGGTCATCATTGTGCCATAAAAATGACTACCTTGAGTTCCGCTGAGGAGCAGCAACATAAAGAGCAACATGATGGAGTCGTCAGCGTCTCTGATCACACTGAGAATTATTATTAAATTATCTTTACTCTCTGAAACAACGTATCCTCTACTCCCCTTTGGTTTATTTACTGTTCCACAGAATTTGCATTTATAAAAATAAAAACATTTGTATGTGGAGGTGTGTTCTGGGTGCAGTCCCACTGCTCAGCCAATGAAAACGCAGAGGAATATCATATAAGTTGTTTTCAGTGTTGTATAAAGTACCACAAAATGATACTTGAGTAAAAGTACAAGTATCTTACCAAGAAGTTACTTTGGTAAAATTTAAAGTCTCCTTTAGGAATATTACTTGAGTAAAAGTCTTAAAGTGGGCCTATTATGGGGGTCCTAGCACAAGTTAGGATCCATCTGTGGGCTATACAAAACATGTTCATTTGATTTAATTCACAAAAAGAATCTCAAATAATGAAATTTCACCTTTTCAGTTCTTCCTGTTCTTCAGCTCTCTCCAGAACGTGCTGTATACAGAAGTTGCTATGGAAACCCCCATCCCCCCTATCCCGTTTGTTTACATTAGCTCCGCCCCCCGACATGGTAGAAGTTTCCAAAGTGAAATTATTTTCACAAACTACAGCTGTCTTTGGCAGTATTGTTAGAACATTGTCATCAAAGACAAAAATAAAATTAATCCAGGCACCTCTGTTCGCTATGGAAGCCCATTTCCGCCACCCTGATAAAAAAAATAAATAAAACTTGTATCTCATAATTATGACATAGCTATCTCATGAGATAGCTAAGTCATAATTATGAGATAGTATCTCATAATTATGACTTAGCTATCTCATGAGATAGCTATCTCATGACTTATATGACTTAGCTATCTCATGAGATAGCTAAGTCATAATTATGAGATACTATCTCATAATTATGACTTAGCTAT